GGCTATGTGCTTGGTAGAGTTGGTAAGTCTCCATATGCTGCTAGTGTCAGGCTCCTCGAGCTGAGCATTGTATGTACATGCTCGTCGTGGCTGCGCAGTAGGTGGTGTGAATGGGGAAGAGGACATGGTTACTCGTAAGAGTGGTGCAGCAGCGAGGCGTACCATGGCTGAGATGGCCAGACCGGAGCTACTAGAATGAGCGGTCTGTTGGAGGTCTGCAACTTGGCAATGTATCTACTCACAAGGCTGAAAGGTGGGAAAGCATGGAGGCCTTGACCCATCTAGTCCTGGCTGAGAGTATCCACTACTGCCGCCCGAGGGTCCGGCTTCCAGCTGTAGTAGTACCTCAGCTATTGGTTGGAGAAGTCTGTGAAAAGGTATGTGTGCACAGGGCCCCACAGGGAGTTGACCCTGCTGAATATGAGTGGGCACAGCTTCCAACTGCTGGCATCCATCGCACTCCCGGATGCTTGGTGCTTCCGGGGCACATGAACACGGGTGCAGACCCGTGTTCATGTGCCCCGGAATGTGTTGGGCCCTGACTGATGATTCCCCACGCCCAGCACCACGACCATAGCTCGTGAGCCATCTTGGTGAGTTGTGAAGAGCAGGGGTTGCACCTCCTGTTCATGGCAGCTACTGCTGCTGTGTTATCTAGCTCGAGGTGGATGGAGCCCCAAGACACATTCTTTACCAGCACCTGAAGGGCCAGGAAGGCTGCCATTAGCTCCAGGGCACTGATGTGCCAAGTGGATTGCAGTGGTGTCCATTATGCCCAATCGTCCGCCACTCCGAGCATGCTCCCCACCCTTTCAACGAGCGGTCCGACTGTATCGCCTGCACTACTGGGGGTGTCTTGATCTGGCCCTTTGGGATCTTCGTCAGTGCTCGGATCCACCACGCTAAGCCCTGCCGCGTATCCCTGGATAACGTAAGAGTGGTCATGTACGTGCCTCTCTGTAGGGCTTGCCGCAAATCTGTTTGAAGGTTCCTGATATAAAAGGAACCCTCCGGCAGCAAAATTAGGCATGCATTCAGTTGTACCACCAAGCTTGCGACCTGGCGGGTCGTGATCCCCGGTTGCTCTAGCCTCTGCTGTAGGTGCTCCAGCAGGTTGGGCGAGTTTCTCTCCTGGGAGCTCGAGCGTCAATTGTCTCGAGTCTATTGATAGTCCCAGAAACAACAAGTCCTGGGCTGGTGTTAGTACTGACTTCTCCGAGTTTACGGCAAAACCCAGGTTTCGTAGGAAGTTCACGATTAGACGTCCCTGGTTTTCAAGTAGGGAGGAGTATTGGTCCTTCACGAGGATGTCGTCCAAGAACAAGACGGCGCGAAGTTCCTTGGACTGGAGATAGGCCGCGACCGGTAGTAGTTTTGTGAACACCCTCGGTGCCGATCTGAGGCCAAATGGTAGCATGTTCCAACGATAGACTGTGCCCTGCTTCCGAAAGCCAAGCCAGGGGTGGTCCTGGTGGCAGATTAGGACCGACAGGTATGCGTCCTTCAGGTCGATACGTATCATGAAGTCGCCCTGCTGGATAAGATCCCTCACCGAGTGCCACCCCTCCATTTTAAGTGGCAGTCTTCCACTGACTCGTTTCGTTGTCTGAAATCTAGGATTGGGCACATTTTGTCGTTCTTTGGTACTACAAAGACGGGGGAGAGGAACTTCACTTCGGAGGGCGGTACCCGAGAGGCTGCTCCCTTTTTGACAAGCTCGGACACTGCCTCCCGGACCTGATTTGACTGCACTTCGGGTCGGCACGTTGTGCAACCAGTGGCGTACCAACTTGTTTTTGAGTGTGTGTGTGTGTGTGTGTGGGAGAGGGGGGGGGGGCTAACCAAAACACCCCCCTCCCCCCAGGGCCGGGGGGGGGGGGGGGCAGTGCCCTTGGTGTCCCTTGGGCGCCGCCGGCCAGTGTTTACCCTGTCCAGTGGCGGCTGTTTCAGGGGGGGGGGGGGGGGGCAAAGCACATACATTGCCCCCCAGTCTGAAAACTCGGGGAAAAGGTGCCCCCCTTGCCCCCCCCCCCCCCCCCCCCCCCCCCCCCGGTTGGTACGCCCATGTGTGCAACCCTTGATTCGCTGATACCTGTGTTTTTGGTCCTATAAGGCTTAAAAATGTGTGAACTTTTTTCTCGGGGCGAATGTTGGTTACGGCAAAGAACGCTGTCAGCCTCTCGTCGTAAGTTTCCCAATCCGACGCGGACTCGTCACACGCTTCGACTTGCCCGATCAGTCCGGACGCCATGCTGCCACTTCCCTCCGTCATCCTCCTTGAAGGCGGTCCTCCTGGTGCTTCGGTGTCGTTCCCGTCAAGTCCAGTGCAGGAGCCACATCCTCGTTGCCATTATGTTACGTTTTGAAGGGTTTATTGAACTGCGACACCAGAAGTTACACGCAGCAAACATCCGTTCGATCGGCTGGCTTGGCATTCCACAAGATGGAGACCGTGGCAGGCGAACCTGGGCGAACGCAGCTCCCGGCGTTCGGAGAAATACCGTAGAGGCCAGCACCGTCGTGCATATGATTATGGAACCACCCCTAGAAACGCCGCAAAACATGGCGTTTTGTCGCCTTTCCCTACTGTGAAGCGAGGGTAAGGCATTGCGGGAGCAACGGTCATTGTCTTGTCGGTTTCGGATGCGCCGGACTCGTCGGAGTTCTGCTGGTTGTACGGTGACGGTGGTGACGGCAAAAACTGGTCGGCAGGGAGCAACGGTCATTGTCTCGTCGGTTTCGGATGCGCCGAACTCGCCGGAGATCTGCTGGTTGTACGGTCCCGTACGAAAATGTCAGATCGGAGCGGTTCCAGTTCGGATCCGCGCGGAGCCACGTGGTTCTAAACTGGGGAAACCGGGGAACTTCCGCGGTGTCTCGTAGGTCACGTGTTAGGGACAGGCGCATCCGCTACGCAGGCGCTGCGAGCGGGTGCAGTGTGCGGTCATGAGTCGCTCCTCGCTTCATCGTCCTCCTGCTTGCTGTCTGTAAGGTAAGTTTTTTTAGACTTTACCTTTTTGTCTGTTTTAGGGCTTCTGCCCCAGTGTTACGCATTATTTCCAGTGTTAATCGTAAAAAAAGAAATGTCGTAAATATCGCCAAACGCCTCGACAAAACAAAATGTTAGAGAGAAAAAAAAAAGTTAGGTGAACTTAAGTTTACATGGGAAATGCCTGTGCTGAACTGCATTCGTTTTTTGGGCCTTGTGATTATGTTTTCCAACGACCATGTTCGTTGGAAGTGTAGCCCGCGCGCCAAGAAAAGTCTTGTTTCTTACAAAAGCGCACATTCCAAACTGTTCAAGAGAGGTACACTCTCAAGAAAAAAAAGGTGTAAAAGGGTGTATTCTTACACCCTTTGTCCCATATACTACACCCCAAAACTTCAATTAGACGTACAGCGCCCTATAGTCGAACAGACGGCCCCGAATTTTACGAGGGGCTTGGTAACGGTGCGATATGACTTTTTAAACAGCTAAAGTACGTACCAAAGACTACAGAAAGAAAACACTAAGTTTTTACAGTAGGGCAAAGAAAACCCCGATAATTTTTTTTTCTTTTTTCACTAAAACGTACATTAGCTATTTTTAAAAGTCATTCCACACGGCTATTAAGCCCCTCGTAAACTTTCGGGTCGTCTGTTCGACTGCAGAGCGATGTACGTCGAAATAAGGTTTTGGGGAGTATCGTATGGGACAAAGGGTGTAACGATAGACCCTTTTACACCCTTTTTTCTTGAGAGTGTATGGACCGTTCCATTAGGGTCATAGCAGAGAGAGTAAAAAGAGAAAAAAATGCCCTTTCCCTCTCACCCGTCCGCTCCGCCGAGTGGGCTGTACCTAGCTTCCGGCTGGCGTACAAACACTGTATCAAATCGCGTCATTTTGGAAATTTCAAGCGCAGATGCGCAGATTTGGGTATGCCAGTTATCGTGTAATACTATGCTAGATAAAAAGACTAACAGGGTCCAATTGCGCTGTTACCTACGTGCAAATAAAAAAAAAAGAATAGGGAAAACTGTGTCAGATTGTCCGGTCTCTCCGGCGAAAAGTAAATCCGGTTGCTGTACCTTTTTTTACTATACAAAGTTCGTACTGGTGTTGTCCTTTAGCGACCATGAGTGGAAGTTTGAAATAATAAATAAAAACGTGCTCTCCTGCCGCAATACACGCAGTAGTTGAGGATAGTACTGCCGGCTGACTCAACTGCTATTTAAGTAACGGAAAAAAAGATATGCTAGTTGATCATTTACCGAAATAGAACGACAGAGAGCTCTAGGCTGATTTTGGAGTAGCCATAACTATTCTAAGAACGCGAACCACTTCACAACGGCAGCCACGAGCGAGAGTTCGGTGTTCGGTAGAGCCCGCCGATACAGCCCAAAGATGGAGAACGGCAACCTCCCGGTTTGCCGTCTGCTAGCGGAGTCGGGCGCGTGCCCTCTCTCTCGTTTTACCCCGCCGAACCCGCTGAATTTCCCGGATGTATGGAGAGGGCGCTGCTGTCGAACAAAATGGTGCCGCCCAGAGAGCTCTAGATTGAAAGGTCCACGGACCTTTTCCACAAGGGCGCCGTCATCTTGAATTGTCGTCACTTCCAGTATGGGCGAAAACATTGTTTTGCCGTCGCCATACCAATAGAAGACATTTAGGGTATAAGCCTAACCGTCACACATTCTCGTTTTGGCTCCCCTCTATTTTTTTGCTAGTTACAGGTTTTATTATTTTTTCGTCGCCCATACTGGAAGTGACGACAATTCAAGATGGCGGCGCCCCTGTAGAAAATGTCTATAGCCTTAATTAACGTGTCTTCAGGCAGCTCTTGCGAAAAGCTGCAAACACCAGATGGTTATCAGTTTTGCTCAGCAAGTCAAAAGGTTAAAAAACGTAGGGTACGTACCTAACCTAATTTTGAGCTGCTCTGAGAGCCTACTTCAAGAAATAAAAGAACTAACCTACAAGGGTGCCGCCAGGCAAATAAAATTAAACATATGATTCCATATTGGCATAAAGCGTCCCACAATATTTTTTTTTATTTTTTTTTTATTTATTGATACTACTATCTCCTTCGGGAGATGTGGTAGGAGGGGGTACATAATGTTATATAAAGGCATACATTTCTAGTCATTTTAGCACACGCGAATAAGGCAATCAATGTCATCATTATACATTATTGAATAAAAATTAGAGAAAAAAAAAACAACAACAAAACAACCTACAAAAAGATAGCTAGCAGATACGGTGTAAACATTGTTTTCTCGGGCCCTTGCAAGCTCTAAAAAATATCCGATGCTTACACGGCAGAAAAAAGCGCTCTGCTCTACGAAGCACGCAGTGCAGTACACTGAATGTGTCACCAATATCGTATACGAGATACTGTTAAGCTGCGGAAAAGTCTACATCGGGTAAACTGGGCGCCGTTTTAACGATAGGGCATGGGAACTTAATCTTACTGTGCGCAACAACGCGGTGGGACATCTTACTGACCACTGCTCTTTTGGCTGAAACAAAGTTAAAAAAAAAAAGCAATGGCCAAAACCGAGACAGAAATTACAGAAGCGTTTTACATCAAAAGGAAAGATAACAACTGCGTTAGCATGTAAAAAAAAAGTAACTTTTCTAGATAGTTGCCTGTGAGAGTGGCATTATTGTATTGCAGGGTAGCAGACGCTTTTGCGTATATAGGTGACATTGTTTTTCTAATAAAATCAGTTGTGAGTTAGCGCCCGTCTTGTCGTCTTGCGCCTCTATTGTCCCTGTTTTGTTTGCACTTTTCAACCTTTTATTTCAGTATGAACCAACTCGCCCAAACCAAAGTTTTAATCCAGCTTGTACCCCTGTATTGCCTGAAGGACCCATGCATCGTGGGTGAGTAACCTCCACGCTTCGCGGCAATATGCCAGTCGGCCCGCGGGCGGTTGTGCTAAGAGGTGCGGGTTTAGATTTATCTTGATGTCCTTGGTTGATGTAGGCCCCCTCGGGAAGATGGCCCCCTGTGAAAGGGTTGCTGGTCCTCACTCCGGCTCTAGGCACTGGTCCTCGGGGCAGCCGAGCTGCGGGGCCTCTTGACTGCCGGGTCTGCGGCGGGAGGGGACTGTTGGCAGGCTTCCCGGAGGACCTTGAGGGTCACTTTCATCGTTGTTCGGAGCTGCCCCAGGAAGCCCTCCCCGAACAGCAAGGGGGATCCCTCATCCCCGCCGTCATGGGCCACCATCTGGCGGAGGTCTGGGACGACTCGTGCGATCACCCCCTCCCGGCGCTCACGGGTGAGCGACGCAAAGAGCTGCCCCAGATAGGCGGCAGCTGCCGCCAAGTGGTCCGCCCCCGTCTTGTTGATGGCCTCCTCCGAGAGGCCGATCTCCAAGATATGCCTACAAGTGGCCCCATAGCCGCAGCCCGGAATCTTGGACCTCCCACAGCACCTGGTCCCGCGCCGTGACATTCGCGGGCCCTTTCGAGCCTCCCTCTGAGTGGAGGCTCCTCTCCTTTGCCAGTGCCTTCATTTCCAGATTCAACTCCGGCACCGTTGCGAAGGGGAACCGCAGTCGCGGGAAGCTCGTCAGGGCCGCCCTGCACCGCTCAGAGCGCCCATCGGAGCCCCAGTGCCCCCGGAGGAAGTCCAGGACGGCAGGGTCCACCTCCCGGGGTCGGCCCTCTGTTGGTCTCCCCAACCAGGAGTGGGGCTCCTCAGCGGGCCCCAAAGGGTCCGGGTCTGGCGCGGCACTGCGCTCGCTGTTTTGGAGTTCCTCCGTTCGCTGTAGCTCCATGATCTCGTCGGTTGACATCTGAGGAGGCCCGAGAAGGTCACATATCGGTTCAGAAATGACTACAGCCGCACTGATCTCCGTTGTCAAACGTGAAGAATAAAGGTGCTAAGCTTGGCTTATTGAGTGGCCCTTGTGGCTGTTCAAGAATGCGGCGCGCCGTTCGGAGCAAGAGCTCTCAAGACGCGAGCGAGGACGCTGGATGTACCTTGAGATCGCCGCCTCTGTTCGGGGCCGGGGCCCATAGAACAACCAGTGGGATCGGGCCCTACTGTAAACCGAAAATTGTCCTGCTCTGTCCGGAGGTGAAGGGGAATGGGTTCCCAAAGCCACTTTAACTCCGCCGCCTTTGTTGGAGGCCGGGGCCCATAAAACGTCAGCGGGCATCGGACCCTACATATGTAAACCCCAAAAATTATCCGGCTTTGTCCGGAGCCGGAGCCCGCAGGGCTTGAGTGGGGACGGGTCCTTATTTCTCTTGAAACTCCACCGCCTTTGTTCGAAGCCGGGGCCCGAGAACTTATGCCTAGCACAAATAACAGATGTGCGACAAAGAGGTTCAAGAATGTTTACTCTGCGGTCGGAGAAAGTTTCTTCCAAGGCCTCGCGAAAGGCGAGGTCAATCCCTTGTCGAGTGCGAGCCTCTCCAAGTTTTATCGGTTGAAAACTCCAGTGAACAAAGAAAAAGCTCAAACAACAACAACAGAAAAGGCAACGCTAGCAAAACCACAATTTGACTACGTGCAAGATGGCCGTCTGGTGGCTTCACGGCCCCTAGATGTGCGCCGCTGCGCCGACTTATTGGCTCCAAGCCGTGCCTTGAACCCAGTTAAAAATAACCATTGACTCCAATTAGGATATTCAATTGGAACCAATTGGAGTCAATGGAATTCAATTGGTTCTGGGTCATCCAACTGGTCATTCTAATTAGTTTCAATGTTTCCAATTGGTCACACCAATTAGGACCAACAAAATTCAGTTGGCACTGGGCCACCTAATTGGTCACTCTAATTGGATTCAATGTTTCCAACTGGTTACCCCAATTAGGACCAACCACTGATCTCTATGACAATTGCTGGATCGCGCTTCCCCGCTTGTTCGGTGCAGCGCAAGTGAAGCCACCGGACTTCACTCGCTTGGGATACGATTTGCCGTTTTTGCTAGCCTTTGCTGCGGTTTTCCAGCGTGCTGTAGACACGTTTTCTACTCGTTCGTCGTCATTCGCCGAAGAAGTTTTTTGAAGACTCTATGTATTGTTGAGACTTGCCGTTGTGAACACGTGGAAAATTTTACGAAAGTGCAGTGTCGCAGAAAAAAGGCACAACGCGTCGAAAGAAGGGCTGGCGGCGTGTTCAAAGCTTCCTTGGCACGCCGAAGCGCCGTGTCTCTGTGCCTTCGCACGCTTGGATACCGACCAAGAACCGACGCCGTGTGTGTCTAGCGAGTGCAATGTGCGTGAAGCTGTTCGTGCCTCTGGATCAGCGTCTTTTCCCCTCGCGGTTTAGGAACGAGCTTAATCCAGCGTCCACTAGCGACGGAAGATGGGGGGAAGGTACGTCTTTTTTTCGTCCTTAGACGATTTACACAATACCGTGCACAACAGCTCCTCATCACTGATCAGTGCTGGCTTATTATCAACCTACTTAATTGCACTTGACGTTTGAGCGCGGCTCGCCTAATTGTAATTGGTCAACAGATTGCACACGACCATATCGGCCACGCTTCAAAGATTTTCATTCTCGCCGTCTTGTACTTTTGCTTTCGAAAACCCCCCTGGCTCCACAACGTTGCCCTATTCGTGCTCCCACGGAATCTATTAGAGTAGATTTGGGACATGGTTAATATAGTACATAAGAACACGTACATATCTCTCCCTTTTATTGATAGCACTCACCGGAACAGCTGGACAATCCAGAACTCTGTGGCCGATATATATAAATGATCTAAAGGCTTCTACGCGCGACACACGTTCAGAACTTTGGCGCGGCGTCAATTCTTGACCGGTATCCAAGCGTGCGAAGGCACAAAGATGCATCACTCGGCGTGCCAAGGAAGCTTTGATCACGCCGCGACACCGGCGACACTTGTTTTCGACGAGTTGTACCTTTTGATACGGCTTCACGCACATTGCACTCGCTAGACACATACACACGGCGTCGGTTCTTGGTCGGTATCCAAGCGTGCGAAGGCACAGAGACACGGCACTTCGGCGTGCCAAGGAAGCTTTGAACACGCCGCCAGCCCTTCCTTTCGACGAGTTGTGCCTTTTTCCTGCGACACTGCACTTTCGTAAAATTTTCCACGTGTTCACGACGGCAAGTCTCAACAATACACAGAGTCTTCAAAAAACTTCTTCGGCGAATGACGACGAACGAGTAGAAAACGTGTCCACAGCACGCTGGAAAACCGCAGCAAAGGCTAGCAAAAACGGCAAATCGTATCCCAAGCGAGTGAAGTCCGGTGGCTTCACTTGCGGGAGCGGCAAGCGCGATCCAGCAATTGTCATTGAGATCAGTGGGACCAACAAAATTCAGTTGGCACTGGGTCACCTAATTGGTCACTCTAATTGGATTCAATGTTTCCAACTGGTTATCCCAATTGGGATCAATAAAATTCAGTTGACACTGGGCCACCTCATCGGTCACTCAATTGATTTCAATGTTTCCAACTGGTTATCCCAATTAGGATCAATAAAATTCAGCTGGCACTGGGTCACCTAATCGGTCACTCTAATTGGATTCAATGTTTGCAACTTTGTTTTCAATGTTTCCAATTTTCAAGTTTCCAAAGATCGCAATTTCTTCTTTTTTTTCAGTATTGCGTTGCAATATATTTTTTCAACATCGCAATTTGAAATGGGGGAAAACAAATTCGTACGCTGTTTAATAAAAAAAATAATATAAAAACGAAAAAAAAAGAAGAAAAAAAATCTGTTGCTAGAATTAGTCGGAATTGCCGGCAGCGACGGTGTACACTGGGCGGCAAAGATGGCGCCGCGAGGACGGTGGAAGCATGAAGCACATGGAGCCGATGGCGTGCACGGCATTCGTAGCATGGTTATGGCAATGATTCAAGAAAGTTTTTTTGTGTTTTACTGCTGCAGAGTGCTTAATGGTGCGGTGATAACTACTTCATTTGACCTGCCAGCTTGTTAGAGCGCGAAGGATTGGCAACAAACGTTTATGGGAGCAAGGTAAGAAATTTTCTTTGTCCTTGCTGGGCTGCAGTTTGGGGATTTCGGATTGTTAGATCTGCTGAGACACTCGTTGCTTGATCTTCAGTGAACGATACGAGCGTGAATGTATAGCTTTAGAGAAGAAAATTTTCCGGGCAGCTATCAGTTCGGAAGTTGTTGGGTATCTGCGAGGAAAGTTAAGTGCGTTTTAAGCATCTCAAAACTAAACTATGAATTGCTGAAAACCCTGACTGGGCACAGTTTCAAAAATTGAAGCTTTGGGATTCAAAATTAAGCAATTTCGGGGGAATTTTCGATGAGTGGGAAGTGGGGTGGGGGGTCGGTCGGTCGGTGATGTCGGGTCATTACCTCCGGAATTTGATGACAATTCATAAAATAACAGTAGGTGCCGAAAATTTTGCATCTCATCCGGCGGACTATTTGCAGCTATGTTTCAAAATTTAATCTGTCTCACTCAGGGTAAGTTCAAAAACCTACCCGCATCCAGCGTTGCCTCTGATCCATTCGAGTAAGATTTGGAACACAGCCTGCAGCACGATTTCTTTTCGAGATACGAAAGACACTTATTTTTTCACCCATGCACACCATTTCTCAGGTGCACTGGCCAGCTTTACAGAGATCCCTTTGAATTGACTGTTTTTTCTCCTTATAGCAGAGAATATGTCTCACAGGCTCATAAAATACTTAGTAGTCTTAAACCATCCCAGATGCAAATTTAGCCCACTCTCGGCAAAAGCTTCATCTCCTAATTTTGACCAATGTGTTTCAGTCACCCAGGGATGTTTGCCTTTTAATGGAAGGCCTGCAGGTTTATACCACTGCAACTAATTTCTTAGCAGCGAAAAAAAAAATTTTAGTATGTTTCTAAGCTTGATTTAAACATTTATAGTCCCATAAGGTCATTTAATGCATATTTATCCTTTATTTTAAGGAAGCTGCAGCTGCTATCCTGGAAGAAAACGACGATGCCTAGAAGCAAGAAATCATTTCTAATAAGTTAAATAAAGACTGTCGTGATTATCTACCTTTAGATCTAGTTGCAACTTTTTCTAGTTTGGGATATCCAAACACTAATAGTTGTCCCAATTCGTATCTGTCAATATGATTTGAACAGTTGGACCAATTGCTTTTTTCCTATTGGGAGCCCGAAAGCAGAAAAAGGTTTTTCCAATTGGTTGCATCCTATTGACAATGCCGAACTGGTTCGAATTGGTGATGTTCAATTAGATTTCAACAATTGGAACCAATTGACTTTTTCTAACTAGGAGTCCGAAATCACAGATAGGATTCCCCATTGGTTCTAATTGTCGATAACTAATTAGAACCAATTGACTTTTCCTAACTAGGAGTCCGAAATCACAGATAGGATTCCCAATTGGTCCTAATTGTCGACAACTAATTGGAACCAATTGACTTTTTCTAACTAGGAGTCCGAAATCACAGATAGGATTCCCCATTGGTTCTAATTGTCAATGACTAATTGGACCCAATGGTTATTTTTAACTGGGAAACCGCTGCCGCGGACTTCAGTCTTGGTTGAAGCGATCGACGGAGTGGTTCTCCAAGTTCAGAGTACAAGTGTGCCTGCTAGGGTGCGACCTACCCTATTTTGAACCCTCGTCCTTGAGCACCGAGCCTTCTACCACCTGGCAGGCCGGCATCGGTTTTATTACGGGGGGTCCACGCATGTCAAATTGCCCTCCGAGAAAGGGGGGGGGGGGGTCAACTCTGTTTGGGGGGGGGGGGGGGGGGGGGGCGGCCGCCCCCGTCGCACCTTGGATCCTCCCCTGCGCGGACGCCACTCCCTATGCGGACGTGCTGCCAG